AATTTGTAAATTTGCAAAGAGTGCTTCGAGTAGGAAATGAAAGGGGAAAGCAAGAAGAAAATATAATTGGGAAATACAGCGTCGTTATGGTTGACGATCCATTTTTACGATATCTGGCATCAACAGTGGATTTCAAGCTGCCTCTTTTATTTTGTTAAGGAAACAAGCAATATATATAATATTTTAGTCTATATTCCATGTTATTTAGCCATGTTTGAGCTCTATTTTAAAAAAATGGGCTCAAACGGAAAGTTATAGTTTATGTGAGCCGTAGAAAGATCCACATATCATCATCAGCTATTTATGATTTCAAAACTGAAGGCCATTTTTGGTTGAGCCCAATTTTAATTGGTATGTTGGACCTCATCTCCCTAGCCGTTCAAGAGAAAATGTTAGCTAATTTCATGGAAAGTTTGAGAATGGGTTATAAGGATTTCATCGCTAATTTTTATTACTTTCATTTTTAGCACTTTTTTAGGTTATATTTGTTCAAATATCTGAATTTCAATTGGACATCGTGTACGTTTCTTACGGAAGATTCTGTGTTTACAAATGTAAAAATTCGTGCTTTGATTTTTGATTTTTTATTTTTTCAAAAATATTATAAGTTAGTTACCTAACTTAAGATAAAGTTCGACAAAGTTCGATGCGTGTGTCATTTTGGTAGAGCTTCAGTACGTTGAAATGTAAGTGTTTTTTATTAGCTTTATTTTTCATGAAAAATATTTTTGATAAAGTTCCTACTTTTAAGATATTTGATTGGCATTCTTTTTCATGCAAAATATTTTTCAAAAATTAGTAGAGTGACCATGTTTTCCTAAAAAAATCAAGGGGAATATTTTCTTTACGTGAGGTGGGTTTTTATTTTCTTGGCACTTCACACTTCCTAACAATTCAACTTTATGGAAAAGAACAAAATTTTCTAAGTTGAAAACTAAGTCAATCAAATACATTTGATTGATAATTTTCATACGAATAAATTCTGGCAACTTATTTTCTTATCATGTAAGTTCCATGTTTGCAAGGCACGAAAAATGAATCCTAAAAAATTATGTTCCTTATCTTGAGGAAAACAAAAACCTATCTCCCCTCGAAGAAAATATTTTCCTTTAAAACAAGGAAAACTAAGCATAATTTCAAAGGTTGGAAAATACTTTCCATAGAAAAAAGGCAATCAAACACTCTAAAAATTAGAATTTGGATAGAAAAAAGCCATTTTTCATGAAAAGTTTTCCAATCAAACACACCATAGGTGTTTTATAAATATGTAAGTGGGTGTGTCGTCACCACTCTCTTTTTTATCGAGAGGGGTGAGATCCCAACCCATCGCCTTGACAACCTCTCTCCAAGAAGATGACACATTCCGTCATCTTGTAATATGACACATTGAGCATCTTTCAATTTGATTGATTTGACATTTATACAAGGATGGCTGGAAATCAAATCCTTTCTTTCTCGTCTAAGGCAGCGTGTGGGATGTCACGTGCTTACGATGACTAGAATGTTGCGTAATTGAGCTTGATCCGTGAGTTGTTGGGATGATGCCATTTGTCAAACATTTAGAGAACTTTGATTGCACCTCTGTAACTATAAATACATACATTTGGTGTCATTTGAAGGTAATCGACATTTTGGTAATTCTCACTCTAAAAATACAAACTGATCTACTCCCAAATTCTTTTCCTTCATATTTTTTGACACCAAATTATATATACGATATTTTATTTGAACGTCAAAGTGCGAACAATCACGACTTCCCTCACTTTGTTTGGAGAAGCCTCTAACGTATGCATCCAAGTGTGCAAGTAACATAACATTTGGAAATGAGAAGTGTAAGAATTTGTAGCATTCTTTAACATGAATTTCGAATCAAGAAACTTACTAAAAATGATGAATTTCAAGATCTTTTGATGGTTGAATCACTTCGCATTCCAAATCTCCAAAATCTGCATTTCTT